ATAAAAAGAATTGCCATCTTGCCAAACGGTCTCTCAGATTTGCACTACTTAAAAGTTGAGTCAAAGCTCGGTGCTCAATATGAACAACGAAGTGTTTATTTTCTAAATATATTCTAAAATGTTTGACAGCCTTGACCACTCCTAGACACTCTTTTTCTGTAACAGAATAGTTTAACTCGCTTTTAGAAAAAGTATACGAATAGTAGCTTATAACTCGGAGTTGTTTACTTCTATTTTCGTTCTCATCTCTTTGATACAGGATAGCCCCACAACCATAGTATGATGCATCTGTAGCTAGTTCATATTTTAATTTGGGATCTGGTAATCGAAGAATCGGAACTAAAGTAATAATTTTTTTAAAAATTTGGAATGGATCTTCACATTCTTCACTCCAAATAATTTTTTGATTTTTTGATTTGAGTTCCTCTAAAGGTTTGGCAATCTTACTATAATCTTCAATGAAACTTCTGAAATGATTAGTAAGACCAGTAAAACACTGTAAAGATTTTAAATCTGTTGGTTTTTTAGCCTTTACCTTTTCTACAGTTTCTTTTTTCATTCGTTTTATATTACCATCTTATTTTAAAATTGTTATCCCTCAATCTTTTTAAAATTTTAAGAGTATTTATCTGACATTTATCTAAATCGGATCCTCCACAAATTATATCGTCGATGTACACTAAGATTATTTTTCTCAATAATTCTCCTAAGACTTCTTGCATTATACTCTGGAATGTAGCGCTTGCATTTTTCCATTCAAAAGGTAATTTTTTAAATTTAAAATGCCCTTCTTTAGTTATAAAAGCTGTGTATATTCTAGTATTTTCTGATAGCATGATACTCCAAAATCCATCTTTTAAATCTATTTTAGAAAAATATTTACACCCGCCGAAAGTTTCAATAATATCATCAATTATGGGAAAAGGGAAAGGATCTAGATGTGTTTCTTCATTGATTTTTCTATAGTCTATGCAAAATCTATAATTCTCATCACCCTTCATCTGAAGTACACAGGGTGAGGCGTACGGAGAATCAGATTTTGTGATAATGTCTCTTTCAATTAATTCTTTCATTTTTGCTCTAATCCAGTTTTTCTTTTTTATATAATGTCTATATGGTTTTAATTTTACAATGTTAGCGCATTTTTTTAAATTAAAATTTGTACAATAATTGCTCGGTTTACTGTCATTATAGTTTAAAACATTGGGGAATGATTTTCTAATACTTTCTTCACATATAAGATGTTTTAAATTATTGTTAAATATCTCCAAATTATTTAGCGTTTTTCGGCCTTTTATTATGTTAAATAACATATTTTCAACAACAACTGGATTTATATCTTTTTCATTTCCATTTATACTTAACTTGATTCTTGTCTCATAAGACCATCTTGTTATTCCTGCTAGACTTCTAATGCTGACATTTTTCTTCAGTTTCGGAAATTTAAATCCATCAACTACTTTTCCGTTGATTATATCAAGTTCAGAACCCGTGTCTAATAGAGATTTCAGATTTATGTCATTTACTAATACCAGTACAACATTTTCATCATTTTCTATAGAAATGCTGGAATTGTAATATAATCGTGTTCAAAGAGTAAGGATTGGTTCTGAATTTAGCTGCGAATCAATTATTAAAGTGGGTGTTCCACAGGGAACAGTCTTGGGTCCCTTGTTGTTTCTTGTTTACATGAATAGTATAACAAAAATTAATAATTTTCAAGGTCATCTTGTGTGTTATGCCGATGATACAGCCATAATTTTCACCGGAAAAACGTGGGAAGACGTACATCGCAAAACAGAAGCTACATTAACTAAGGTGACACTATGGTTAAACTATAACAAACTAACATTAAATATTAAAAAAACAAAATTTATTGCTTTCAGCCCGACTGCTACAAATCAGCCAATTAACTTACCGATTAAACTACACAGCCCAAACTGCGAGCTAAACAATTGCATATGTCCCACTATTGAAAAAGTCGCTTCCATAAAATATTTAGGTGTTATACTAGACCAATATATACGTTGGACAGAGCATATCACTCATGTTAGTAATCGAATAAGAGCTCTAATGCATACATTTTATGTACTTCGCGATATTTTCTCTAAGACAAAAATAATCATGACATATTCTTAATACTCTGCAAGTAACACAAAACACAATTTTCAAAATAATATTAAAAAAAGATAAATTATTCACTACCATACGATTATATAATGAAAACGAAATCCTCAACATTAAATCACTCTTTATCTACCAATGTATCATAAAAGTATATAATAGCCTTGAACTATTTCAATATAAACAAACTCGATTGACTCGCTCTACTACAAATATGGACCTTTCTACTCAACTTTTTAAAAAATCTCTAACCCAAAGATCCTTCTTTTACTTTGGTCCCAAGTTCTACAATCTAATCCCCATACATCTCAAACAAAAAAGTAAACTATCTATATTCAAACAAAATATTAAAAAATATATAATAGATAACCAAATCACATTTACTGCTATAATGTTGTAAGCTATACCTGATTTAAAATTGAAATTTGTTGTTAACTATTTGTATTAAATGTTGGAATAACTACTGGATAACCCTCGTCTGCTTCGCTCTGCATATGTACTCAATCTAAAAAAATTTTGTATTCTACTTATTTTTATACCTACTTAGGCACTAAAATATAAAATGTACGTTTTATTTCAAATCTTTTAGAATCAGCACAAGCAACACAGGCAGCTTTTGCTTAGGCTTGTTGCTAATTCTAGATTTTTTGTAATCTATATTAATCTTAAAATATTATTATTATTATTTGTACTTTATTACTATTTGAATTTGAATAAATTGAATTGAAAAATTGAAATTTATATAATTTCGATAAATATTGTAATAAATCTAAAATTTCTTCAATAGACATTATTGAATTATGTAGTGTATTTAACTTTGAAAATGATATTGCATTTTCTAAATTATCAAGTAAAGTTATTATAGTTTGACAATCTAAATTAATTTGAGATAGTGCTCCTTGAAAGTTTACAAAAGTTTCTAAAGTTTGTATTTTCTTTGCTATTGAATATTGGAGTTTTTTAAGGGTATCAGTAAATGCTTCTAAGAAAAATTCGAATAATTTTCAAAATATTATATTTGTTTCTTTTCCACATCATCAAACCTGCTCCTTGCACCCCATCTTCTGTTTGTTTATTGCTGTCTCTGTTCTCCAATGGCTTCCAAGTGTAATTTTTGTCTCTGAATCAATAGTCACATTCCTTAAGTTCAAAACGCATTTTTGTTTTTTCAAATATCTTAATTTTTACCAAAGTTATGAAGAATTTAGTGTTTGAACATTTAACAAATTCAATTTTTCGACCTTCGCCGCCTCAAAATACTAAATAAATTTCAATCGTCCATACCGCGAGAACGGTGCATCGGATCAAAATTTCTCAGGAGATATGAAAATTATCATTTTTTCTAAGCTTTTAAATGTCGTAAATTGCGTTTTAACCATATTGATTTATTTCCGACATGCGCCTGCGCAAAATTAGAAAATTGACAAATTGACAAAATCCAAAATTTTGGCATTTTCGAAAAACAGCTACATTTTGTTTTGCCTTTTTTTCGAAAAGATCACCTCAAAATACATAGAATCCATTTTGTTTCATCTAATTACAATTTAATGTAAGTTCAAAACCCGTAATTTAATTCGATTAATACGCAATATTCATTTTCCTACGACCACTTAGGAAAGTGACACATATCACACTATATAGTCCTATGGAAAGTGTCCTATATCACACGCGTATGACTAAGAATTTACTTTCCACCCAAGTGAGAATATGTTACTTTCCGCAGTAGTTGTCAAAAAATGTCAAACGCCTAATTTCTATTTTGATCTATGTAATGTCCATATTAATACTAAAATCGATATGATTGTTAAATTATTGAAATTGTTTTAAATTAGATCCTAGATATTTATCTTTAACAATTATTATTAAAATAATTTTAAAATAACTAAGATTATGTTTGCTCTTTAATTTGGGTAAATACATAACCGATTAGATCATTCAATTGACGTAAGGCCCATTAGCTCAGTTGGTTTAGACGTCGAACTTATCAACTTTGCCATTTTTTGACCGCGTTCAATCTATGGTTCAAATCCTGGCGGAGCCGAATTTTTTTTTTGTTTTTTTTTTATTTTTTATTAGTTTTTTTTGTTTAGAAAATATGAAAATTGAATAAATACGATTATTGTTGATTATTTTTTTAAATACATTTTAATTAATATAGTAATAATAACCTTGGTTTTACATTTTTTTGATATTATTTTGTAAGCTAATTTCTATTTTGATCTATGTAATATCCATATTAATACTAAAATCGATATGATTGTTAAATTATTGAAATTGTTGTAAATTAGATCCTAGATATTTATCTTTAACAATTATTATTAAAATAATTTTAAAATAATGTTTGCTCTTTATTTTGGTTAAATACATAACCGATTAGATCATTCAATTGACACAAGGGCTGTTAGCTCAGCTGGTTAGGACGTCGAACTTATCAATTTTGCCATTTTTTGACCGCGTTCAATGTATGGTTCAAATCCTGTCGGGGCAGAATTTTTTTTTTGTTTTTTTTTATTTTTTATTTTTTTTTTATTTTTTTTTAGTTTTTTTTGTTTAGAAAATATGAAAATTGAATAAATACGATTATTTTTGATTATTTTTTTAAATACATTTTAATTATTATAGTAATAATAACCTTGGTTTTACATTTTTTTGATGACATTATTTTGTGGTCGTAGGAAAAATATTGTACATCACTTGTGTGAAAAGTGATTTTCCACACTCGTAATGTAATATACTATTTTTTGGATTTCTGAAAGCGCCCCAAATCTTTAAGTACCCCCTTGTATGGTATAAGATAGCTGCTTTAATAAAGGAAATCTATTGATGTTTTTATTATAAAATATTTAATTTATTTTAAACTGAATTCAAAAACTTACCATAAACAAAACCGGTCACAACTTCTGCCTCTCGCAACATTTCTTCACTAAGCTCATCTCCTTCCATAGATTGAGTTAAAGAATGCGTGCTTTGAATAGTTTGACCGTGCTTTTTTGGTCTTTCTCCGGAATTAACGATTTTAACTATAGTACGATGTTCCGGATGTTGAGGAGAAACTCTAGTTGACACTGGTTGTGAATCTTTAGCGAACGCTTGAGGTTTCTTCTCAGGAAGTTGTAAGCTTCTGGACCTGAAACAAAAATCACAAAAATTTATTGTATTTTTTAGATGGTTTACTATTTCTAAGAACAAATAAATGGATAATGAGAGACATATCTCGGAGAGGGGTAAAATGCTAGAAAAATTTGGTACACTGGTACACCTTTGCCCTAAAAAGTACGTAAACAGTACGTAAACAGTACGTAAACAGTACGTAAACAGTACGTAAACAGTACGTAAACAGTACGTAAACAGTACGTAAACAGTACGTAAACAGTACGTAAACAGTACGTAAACAGTACGTAAACAGTACGTAAACAGTACGTAAACAGTACGTAAACAGTACGTAAACAGTACGTAAACAGTACGTAAACAGTACGTAAACAGTACGTAAACAGTACGTAAACAGTACGTAAACAGTACGTAAATGTTACGTAAATAGTTCGTAAATAGTACGTAAATAGTAGGTAAATAGTACGTAAATATTACGTAAATAGCACATAAATAATACGTAAAGAGTACGTAAATAATATGTTAATAGTATGTAAATTGTACGTAAATAGTACGCAAATAGTACGTATATAGTACGTACATAAGACGTACATTGTAGGTACGTAGTACGTACATATTACGTACATAATACGTACATATTACGTAAACAGAACGAAAATAGTAGATAAATAGTACGTAAATAGTACGCAAATAGTACGTAAATCGTACTTAAAAAGTACTTAAATAGTACGTAAATCGTACTTAAAAAGTACTTAAATAGTACTTAAATAGTACTTAAATAGTACTTAAATAGTACTTAAATAGTACGTAAATAGTATGCAAATAGTACGTAAATGGTACGTAAATGGTACGTCAATAGTACATAAATAGTACGTTAATAGTACGTAAATAGTACGTAAATAGTACGTAAATAGTACGTAAATAGTACGTAAATAGTACGTAAATAGTACGTAAATAGTACGTAAATAGTACGTAAATAGTACGTAAATAGTACGTAAATAGTACGTAAATAGTACGTAAATAGTTCGTAAATAGTACGTAAATAGTAGGTAAATAGTACGTAAATATTACGTAAATAGCACATAAATAATACGTAAAGAGTACGTAAATAATATGTTAATAGTATGTAAATTGTACGTAAATAGTACGCAAATAGTACGTATATAGTACGTACATAAGACGTACATTGTAGGTACGTAGTACGTACATATTACGTACATAATACGTACATATTACGTAAACAGAACGAAAATAGTAGATAAATAGTACGTAAATAGTACGCAAATAGTACGTAAATCGTACTTAAAAAGTACTTAAATAGTACGTAAATCGTACTTAAAAAGTACTTAAATAGTACTTAAATAGTACTTAAATAGTACTTAAATAGTACTTAAATAGTACGTAAATAGTATGCAAATAGTACGTAAATGGTACGTAAATGGTACGTCAATAGTACATAAATAGTACGTTAATAGTACGTAAATAGTACGTAAATAGTACGTAAATAGTACGTAAATAGTACGTAAATAGTACGTAAATAGTACGTAAATAGTACGTAAATAGTACGTAAATAGTACGTAAATAGTACGTAAATAGTACGTAAATAGTACGTAAATAGTACGTAAATAGAACGTAAATAGTACGTGAATAGTACGTTAATAGTACGTAAATAGTACGTAAATAGTACGTAAATAGTACGTAAATAGTACGTAAATAGTACGTAAATAGTATAGAAATAGTACGTTAATAGTAATTATATTCTTTAGATAGGTTAGTATTTCTAAGAAAAAATAAATGGATAATGAGACATATCTTGCGAGGGGTAAAACGCTAGAAAAATTTGGTAAACTAGTACACCTTTGCCCCAAAAAGTACATAAACAGTGCGTAAATAGTTCGTAAATACTACGTAAATTGTACATAAATAATACGTAAATAGTACGTAAATAATACATAAATAGTACGTAAATAGAATGTTAGTATGTAAATAGTATGCAAATGGTAAGTAAATAGTACCTAAATAGTACGTAAATAGTACATAAATAGTACATAAATAGTACATAAATAGTACGTAAATAGTACGTAAATAGTACGTAAATAGTACGTAAATAGTACGTAAATAGTACGTAAATAGTACGTAAATAGTACGTAAATAGTACGTAAATAGTACGTAAATAGTACGTAAATAGTACGTAAATAGTACGTAAATAGTACGTTAATAGTACGTAAATAGTACGTAAATAGTACGTTAATAGTACGTAAATAGTACGTAAATTATACGTAAATAGTACGTAAATAGTACATAAATAGTACGTAAATAGTACGTAAATAGTACGTAAATAGTACGTAAATAGTACGTAAATAGTACGTAAATAGTACGTAAATAGTACGTAAATAGTACGTAAATAGTACGTAAATAGTACGTAAATAGTACGTAAATAGTACGTAAATAGTACGTAAATAGTAAGTAAATAGTACGTAAATAGTACGTAAATAATACGTAAATAGTACGTAAATAGTACGTAAATAGTACGTAAATAGTACGTAAATAGTACGTAAATAGTACGTAAATAGTACGTAAATAGTACGTAAATAGTACGTAAATAGTACGTAAATAGTACGTAAATAGTACGTAAATAGTACGTAAATAGTACGTAAATAGTACGTAAATAGTACGTAAATAGTACGTAAATAGTACGTAAATAGTACGTAAATAGTACGTAAATAGTACGTAAATAGTACGTAAATAGTACGTAAATAGTAAGTAAATAGTACGTAAATAGTACGTAAATAATACGTAAATAGTACGTAAATAGTACGTAAATAGTACGTAAATAGTACGTAAATAGTACGTAAATAGTACGTAAATAGTACGTAAATAGTACGTAAATAGTACGTAAATAGTACGTAAATAGTACGTAAATAGTACGTAAATAGTACGTAAATAGTACGTAAATAGTACGTAAATAGTACGTAAATAGTACGTAAATAGTACGTAAATAGTACGTTAATAGTACGTAAATAGTACGTAAATAGTACGTAAATAGTACGTAAATAGTATAGAAATAGTACGTTAATAGTAATTATATTTTTTAGATAGGTTAGTATTTCTAAGAAAAAATAAATGGATAATGAGACATATCTTGCGAGGGGTAAAACGCTAGAAAAATTTGGTAAACTAGTACACCTTTGCCCCAAAAAGTACATAAACAGTGCGTAAATAGTTCGTAAATACTACGTAAATTGTACATAAATAATACGTAAATAGTACGTAAATAATACATAAATAGTACGTAAATAGAATGTTAGTATGTAAATAGTATGCAAATGGTAAGTAAATAGTACCTAAATAGTACGTAAATAGTACATAAATAGTACATAAATAGTACGTAAATAGTACGTAAATAGTACGTAAATAGTACGTAAATAGTACGTAAATAGTACGTAAATAGTACGTAAATAGTACGTAAATAGTACGTAAATAGTACGTAAATAGTATTGGTTGTTCAAAATTGAAAGAAATTATACGTTTTCAGTCACACGCTACTAGTGAAATATGATTTTTATTGGTTTATTAATGTTATCAAACTTTCATATCTCTTGACTTTGGATCAATGTTTACGTCTTAATATGATCATTTTTGCTTAAAATTATGAAATCTCTATATACTGTTTCAGTTGGATCTATACAATTTGAAACATCTGAAACACCTCTACAAGTAATTCAAGATTTTAGATCCAAAAATATAATCCTAGAATAACAAATATAAGACGATTTTTAAAAATAAAAAAAAACTTAAGACAATTTACTAGCGACAGAGGACAATTTGACAGAGAAAGAGGTTACGAATATAGAGCAAATTGCATTACTTTTATTGTAGATTCATGAGCTGCTTACCATCTAGTGCACAGAAGATAAAGTCATCTGCGCAAGAGATATAAGTGACAAAGAAGAAATTTCAATATCTACAAAAAAAATGAAGAGTGGTTATGGTAATAATATTTTGAGCTGAGCTAGTGTCGTAGTGCGATAGAGATATATGTTTACAGTCGGTAACATGTTAAAAATCACCTTTTAAAAATGTTATTTTGAATAGGTGACCTGTTTAAATGCATTGATTTGTGTTAAATTAGTTTAATTGTCGGTGCACGCAACATTGCCGAGAAAAGAAAATTTCGCATAGCGGAGAGGGAAACTTGACAAAGACGAATTTGAATTCCGTTATCTTTTTCTTTTATAAATATCTGTTGAATTATAAAAACAAGTCTCTGACTGCAATAAGCGATAAGTTCTTAATGTCATTAAAAAAATCTAATTAGCCTTTATATTTCTACCTCTTGTCTAATTATACGTTTAAATTTTTGAGGATCAATTTTGAATTATTGAATATATTAATTTTTAATTTCATGGAAAAGTAATGAAATCCGACAACCGGGGGTTGATAATTAATTTAAATAATTCTTATATATTACATATTATATTCAAATTTTTATTTTCGAATTCAAACAACATCCCAGCGTATCCCGCCTCGTAGGCGCCGTTTAAATTACTTCTGGGAAACGGAGGCGACGATAGACTAGAAAGTTCGCTAGAACAAAACAGGTGTAAAAACATAAGGGCTATATTCAGGAATTAATGCAACGCTTTAAGATCTTTATGCCCGAACGCGTAGTCGTTCGCTTTCCGATACATTGGCATATATGGGAAATTTAAGTATAAATACCCGGGTTTTTGTGGGCAGAAGATTATTAACTTCTTCTTCACCGAGTCAAGTTAACAAAAATACGCAAATATCCCTGTCCCGCCACGGTGACTTCTTTTTCTTTATATTCTTCAAATATAATTAAAAAGAGATATCGCTACCCTTACGGAGGCAGCGCTTTTGTTATATTTTGAGAACGGAAATAAAAGATATCGACGGAGTAGAGAAATTAGTTTCTATAAACGACGGCTTCTGCATAGGTATCCAGTTGTCCTTAGGACGACCACCTTTTTCTTATATTTTATAAATAAGTAAAAG